TCACAATGGTCACGTCTCAGCCCAGGGCAGCTGCTGCTATGAGTTAGTTACGAGGGGCAGCTTGTAGGTTTAATCTGCTGACCTGTGGTTAGCAGTCCAGTGCTTACCCGACCGCTTTGAGGAGAAGCCTCTTTTCCACACCCTGCAGCAACTGAAGGCCTACAAAGGGAAGTTTTCTGATCCTGACACACACACACACATACAGAGGCTAAATGTCCCTCGGTCCCTGTGACTTCTCTGGGAACCCTCTGGGGGAGAACCGACTGGGAATGCAGAGAGAAACAGAGGGAGCATCCTGTCTCCAGTGTGACACCCCAGCTCCTCAGTCTGAGGCCCTGAGACGGCAGATGTTTGAGGGGATCTGTGGATGGGCTTTGACGCTATCATTCACAGACAGAAAAGCTCTCCTTGAGCGAGGCCAGGCCATGGGCTTCACAAATAAGAGGAGTGGACGTGGTTTCTGTTCTGGGGTTAAAGGTCAGAGTGGCACCAAGATTATGGGGCAGGTCAGCAGTGTCCACCTGTATTAACCCATTCATGCAGAGAGAAAGGAAGGAAAAGTGGGCAGGACGGGGGTGGGGGAAGGGAGGGGCACACATCCACACATCCACCCAGCTGAAATCCACTGCCCATGGTGAACGGGGCTGCAGAGGCAGTTGTGGGTTCTGAAGATGGCTGCTCTAGAGTCTCCAGGACGCCATGTGACATTGCAGGCTGGCCCCAGAGGCTTTCCCTGGCTGTCACTTTATGGGAGCCAATCTCCTGTGGAGCTGCTGCTGGCTTTGAACCAGCCTTTCGACGAGCAGCTGAGTGCCTACCTGTTGCCCAGCATGGTTTCTTAGGCTCGGATTAGGAGAGGGAAGAGCGTCTGGCAGCTTCTTCCATGGCTGCCGAGTCGATTCTGACGCACAGCGACCCTACAGGACCTAGCTCCCGAGGGACGCAGACTGCCTCACCTGTCTCCACAGAGCAGCCAAGCGCTTCGACCACTGCACCACCAGGGTGCATTCTGACAACTTATAAAAAAAGCCATCCAATTCCGACTCACAAGAACGCTGCAGCAGGTAGAAGTGACCCATGGGGTTTCCGAGATTGTAATGTGGTTTACAGGAGCCCAGACTCATCTCTCTCCTGCAGAGCAGCTGGTGGATAAGAACCACCGACCTTGCCCCTTCCCAAACCACAGTGCATGTCACAGCTTCTGTGTGAAGTGGCATCATGCAGGCGCCTTGTAGCGTGTGGCGTGTCGGGCACAGAGCAATGGTGCAAACCGACTGCAGTGAGGCAAGATCGAGGCACGTTCCATCGCCTTCGCACAGACTGCAGCACCGCGCAGGCAGGACTGGTTCCCAAGGAAAGGAAGCCCGTGTGTCTGAAAGCTGGGCCCCCGTCACCTCCCCCGCTGCCCAGTGCATATGGTCACCACCCACCTCATAGTGGTAGTCCATACACGTCAGCTCCCACCAGCACCGGTCTCCCCGGATCTTGATCAGCCCCTGCCGAGAAAGAACAAGCTCGGTCACCAGCCTCATCTTACTCACATCCTTGCTCAGGTGAAGTGTGGTCTGCATTCACTATAAGGGGACTTCAAAGAGTGTGTGGGACATGCCCATCATCTCTTAACCCCATTTTCCCATGAACTTTCTGAAGCCCCCTTGTATGTATGAATGCTCTGAGAAAGTTCCCTCTTGCTCTGAGTCCTGTATCTGACTCGTCCTTGTCTGACCTGTGGATCTGGGCTTGTCGGCCCCACAAGCACATGGGTCAGGAGAAGCCTCCAATCTGACTCCTGACCCACCGATGTGGGACTTGCCTGCCTCCACGGAGCCATTTCCTTGACGGTCTGTGGGTTCTGTGAGGTGAAGCGGTGAATCATGGAACCCACAGACAGGAGGGAGAGGACGGCGAGGAGGAGGAGTTAGTGATGACACAGTGAGTGGTACAGCAGTGTGGGAAGGCTGGGACTCGGGACATCGTCAACCCCTGCCTCCTAAGAGCCAGCTCTGAGATGATCCTTCTAAAGGGAGGTCTTCACTTAGATGCTGCATGAGAATGCGTCTACAAGCAGCAAAGGGTCGCCGGCAGCCCCAGCCTTGGAAGGAATCAACCCGGCTGACACCCATCTGTGTGTTCAGGCTCGGCTCATGAAAGCCGCCCGTTAGGTGGCACTATGGCATATAAGCTGGGGGATGCCGCAGTCATGCCCGAATGGATGGGAATCTTGCTACTAAAGACTCGAGCAAGTCCTATCCTGTGGAAGCTAGTTTGTTTCAGTCTCAAGAGGGCCAGCTATACCTGTCATGTTACCAGGGAGGGTCACATGAGCCACAGACGGGAGTCATGGAAACGCCCACCAAGAGATGCGGAATCAGCATCACCAGGGAACACCACAACCCAGTGAACGGCAAACACGAGGTCACCTTACTTTTAAGTAGAGCTATAGAAACCAAAGGTTATTAGTGGCTACCAGGGGTGGACAATGAATAAGGAAGGCCGAAGAGGGATTGACACGTGTGATTATGGTGTTGGAGAATATTAAACATGTCACGGACTCCCAGGAAACAGGACAAATCTGTGTTGGAAGAAGTACAGCCAGGAGGGAAGCCTTCGTCTCTTGCTCTTTGGACATATTATCCCTGGAGAAGGACATCATGCTTCGAAGAGTGGAGGGTCAGTGAAAAAGAGGACCGGACTGATGATTGTGGGGGGTGGGAGCACAGGACCAACCAGGCAGTGTTGTGTTGTGTTGTGTTGTGCTGTACGCTGGGGCATGATGACACCTCGAGGAGGGATGGGAGCAGGGCAGTAAGCAGGTGGTGGAATGGTCTGAAAGAGGAATAGCCACACAACATGGAGACCATCATGGTGTGACTGACACGGAAAAACTGGGGGCTGTTGGTGTGTGTACATTTCCACCACAATACAAATCTGAAGTCAGACACGCCCAGTGTGAACGGCTTAAAGGTTCACGTCTGGTGTTCAAACGCCTCTCCAGGAGTCACAGGTCCCCCTGTGGACTGAGGCCTGGCGACAGTCACAGGCATGGACACAGAGGGGCTGGTTTCTGATGGAACAGCCACTCTGCTCAGCAGACATGGCACAGCCCTGCGTCCACGTGACGTAAACCCGTAAATGTGGCCCAACTCCCCACACCCCCCTTCAGAACCCAGGAGACACAGCTTTGCAGACTCAAACCAGGCAAAGGAGAAGACGACCAAGAAAAAACAAAATAATTAAAATGTCATTCAAATCTTAAGCTGATAAGAGACACTTAAAAATCTGAAAAATTCTTTCGGGAGCGGAGGGTAATTATATTCCTCCCATCTATTGATTCCTCCCGACAATGCAGATGTCAGATTTTCCACGGATTTTTTTTTTTTTCCTCCCAGAGCAAGTGTCAAAGGAACAAAGCCTTCTTTCAGTCTTTTTCAGCCCAAAATGAATTCTGAAAAGACAGCGCAGACCGGCCCTCAGCGCCAGGCCTGAGCAGGGCCGAGCGACCCACAGATGTCTGGCGGTTCTCCTGTCGTCAGCTGGAGAGGAAGCCCCGGCCCCGAGATGCCAGAACATTCTCAAGCCCCGCTGAAGAAGCTTCCGGGCCTCACAGTCTGTGGGAAGAAGGGAGGCTCGTGGGACAAGCTCACGTGTCTGAGGACACATCCCTTAAACTCCATGTGAGGGTGGGGGGGCTGGGTCTCGGGGGAATGGCTTGTGCTGGTCTTGACTCCTAACCCTAACCCCCCCCAAACAGGCAATTGAAGCCACCCAGAAAACGCCTCAGAATAAACACTCGGTGGTCGGCTGTGAAGATTACAGACATGCACAGGGGCATTGCCGGTCAGCAGCAGCTCGATGACACTGGGGTTTCTGGTGGTGCAAATGGTCTACACACTTGGCTGACAAACTAAAGGCTGGGGGTTTCAGTCCACCTCGAGTTGCCTCAGAAGAACGACCTAGCATTCAGCTTCCAAACACCAGCCACTGAGAACCCTGTGGAGCGAGTTCTACCCTGACCACATGGGGGCGCCATGAGTGGGATCTACTTATGAAAAATCA